CAGACCATTGCTTCTGACAACGTCGTGCCTGTCTTTGACATGATGGTCAAGGAGGGACTTGTGTCTCAACCCCTGTTCTCCGTCTATCTGAGCAGGTATTGAAACAGGGTGGAAATCTGTTAGTTGGCAGTATGTCAGTTCACGTGACATTGAATTCACGTATTGACATTTGTTTGTTATTTCCTCTAATAGCAAAAGTGCACAGGACAGTGAGGTGGTCTTCGGTGGTATTGACAGCAGCCACTACACTGGACAAATCATCTGGATCCCTCTGTCCTCTGACACCTACTGGCAGATCAAAATGGACAGGTACAAAGGGAATAGAAACAAAATACTAACCACAAGCATAAGTTGCACAAAGCCTCCTAGTTTGATCGGCTGCTGTTCTTCCTCCACAGTGTTACCATCAATGGACAGACTGTAGCCTGCGCTGGTGGCTGCCAGGCCATCATCGACACTGGTACCTCCCAGATCGTTGGCCCAACCAGTGACATCAGCAACATGAATTCCTGGGTTGGAGCCTCAACCAACCAGTACGGAGAGGTGAGTCATACCATCAGACCGTAACATTTGAAGTACATTTTCCCTATCTTCTGATCCCAGAGTAAACAGACATTTAGTGCTCTGACGTCAAAACGCTCCAATACAAATAATTAGGCAGGACTTGGTTACTTGCTTTAGCTGGAAACCTGGAAAATACCAATAAATACAACTTCACGATACTCAGCGTTATGTGGGACCTTCTTCTTGCAGGCTACAGTGAACTGCCAGAACATCCAGAGCATGCCTGAGGTCACCTTCACCCTCAACGGAAACGCCTTCACCATCCCTGCATCTGCCTACGTCTCTCAGGTCAGCTAGAATCACTGCCACAGAAACGTTTTTCAACAATATAATGAGATTATGGATGATGTAAATACATTTTCTGTTGTCTCTCCACAGAGCTCCTACGGTTGCAGCACTGGCTTTGGCCAGAGTGGCCAACAGCTCTGGATCCTGGGAGATGTCTTCATCAGGCAATACTACGCCATCTTTGACTCCAGTACTCCAAAAATTGGTTTGGCCAAGTCTGTCTAAACACATGATTGATAAGTGTGTATTTCCCTGTAGGGACTTGTCTGATTGAAAACAAAAAAAGGTGCAAATGGATTTTGTGGAAATACATGATTCAACCACATTGTAGCAGCCTTTGCAATAAATTGATTATAGCAACTTAATGCATTCTGTGTATTTTTTGTGTATGCTTAAGTCGGACTGTGATGGTACAAGAAAGATCAAACATCAGTGTAAGAAAAGCAAACATCCTCAGTCTTCTTAGTTTTGTTTTACAGCACTGCACTGAAATGTCAAAGGAATAAGAATATGTTACGTCTGTTCATCCATCTGCTCTAAGGAGAAACTTGACCTTTATTGAGGATACAAAAAGGATTGCCAGCTTTCTTCTGTAAAGGAAGAAGTGGCCAAGAATAGAGTATTGAGCGACTCTCAGAATAGCTGGGTTGTAATCGGGAAGAAGCTGATAAGTGAAGAATTGATATAACAAAGGATAACCTGATGACATAACCTGACAACTCCGCTGCTATTTCTGTGAACAGTTTCATAAGGACTCAGAGAAAACACATTGAAGCAAACACGATAATATGGTTATTTTTACCAGACAATGTTATTTCTTCAATGCAAAATAATTTTATTTTTATGTCATTCATCTTTTTCACAAACAACACATGCTACACACTATAGGATTTAGCGGCATCTAGTGAGCTTAAAGATTGCATCAAATTAAACACCCCTCAGCTCACTTCTCCATTTCCAAGCGTGTTGGAGAGTGGCAGTGGCCTTCAGGTATAACATCAAATGTGAAAAGCCCTGTCTCAATAGTTTTCGGTGAGTACTTGTACTGTAGGCTACTGAAAAAACACAAAGACGTTACATAGCGGACTCCTAGAGGAGCACCAGCTCCCTGTGTAGATATGAAAAGGTTCTTTCTCAGCTGACAAAAACACAACATCTCTTAGTTTGAGGGGATTGTGCACAAAGGATAAGATTATCATGAAAATCATATTCCATATTTGACATTAAATCACCCTAAATACTACACATTGGACCTTTAATATTGCATGATCATAACTCACAACTGATCAAAGAAAAGTTAAAAACAAAGAAGCAGAAGATAATGTTTGTTATGCAGCCAAATGCATGTTGTTATCCTTTCTGCCTGCCTGGTGAGTGTCAATGGAGTTATTTAAAAAAAGTAAATTAGTGGAACAAATTAAATCGATCCAATGAAAATCAGAAACTAAACTAAACTTTCACAGGTATTCACTGGTGGATTGCCAGTGTGGAGTACTCCACCATCCAATCAGACTCTGCGCTCCAGGTTGAGTCAGGGGCTATAACTTGTGTTTTGTGCATCCTCAGGTTTGCATACACCTCGGTTGTCGGTTTCTCGTGGGCTATGAAGTCCACTGTTGTGTAGACAATGCCACTGATTTCCTGGGAGGGACACATTTTTGTCAAGAGACAATGTTGCGGAGGAAGTTTGAAGCATAAACATTCAATCTGCTTTTGAAATCAAGTGACAATGAATCACAGCCTCCACTTGTTCCCTGTTTACACTCACCGGGGCCTCTTGTTTCAGTGACTCACACAGAGTTTCTCCATATTTGTCTACAAAGAAAAGCAAAATGTCATTGAATGCACAGTATATTTTTTCTTTCATACACTCAGATAGTTGTGATCACCAATTTAAGTAAACTGCTTACTCGTCTGTTTACGTTTTGCCTTGACCCTGCACCAAACCACACCAATAACTGAAGTGATCAAAAGCATCACTGTAATGGACACAATGACAGCAAGTGGCAAGCCAAAACTCCAGGGAACCCTGGAGAGGAAAACAAATACATATCTTATCTTCAGTCAGACAGCACTGTTATCAGGCAAGCAACAGAACATGGGTAATATACAGAGAGAATACCTGGGACTGTCACTGCGGTCCTGCGCCACATCCGGCCCGGTGGAGTGGGGGGGGGTCGTGGAGCTGCTGGGGGCTTTGACAGTTGTTGCCAGTAAAGGTCTATCGTGACCTGAAACCTCTGAACAATGCAAGCATATCACATAAGCTTCTAGAGAAGGGGTGTGCAATTCAAATAGTATAATGAAATATGGCCCACAAATTAAACTTGTGCTTGTCATATATTGTACTAATTAAATATATATGTACAAATGTGTGTCCACTTTTCGAATAAATTCAATCAATTAAAGTTGGAACAATTTTCAAACTAAACTTAGTTCATATAAAAAGCCCTATCACTTATTTGCATAACAAATATTTTTATAAGCAATCTGAAGCTTGTTTTAAGGCATGAGCTGCAAACTAAAAAAATGAAACCCTATGGAGAGCTGGGGTGTATGGGCTGTTGTGTTTCTTACAGCATGTTCAAGTATCAAGCTTAATTTACCTACATTTGATTGATTTTGCTAACATAACTTAGTATATGAGGCAATATACCTCACCTCTATTTTCCCGTATGTGGCCCTCGGTGAAAAAAGTTTGGACACCCCTGTTCTAGAGTGTTTGCTCAGAATAATAATTTATAACTGCTTCCTTACTTTACTGAGGAACAAAACATCAAATATTATTTTGCAAGTGAACATTTATTTCATGAAGCAGTAATAATTCAGTTTTGGCCAAAGCGTTATTTTACACACTTGTGGTATGTCATAATTTACTTTTATAACTACAAATTATAAGACTGCTTACCAGACACCTCGACATAGTAATCACTGTAGATGTGGTTTTGAGTTCCTAGCACCATGCATCTGTAAAAGCCTCCGTCCACAAACCGAACATTAGATATTTTAAATTCTATCCAGCCGTCCTTTTCAGTTGTTGTTACTCTTCCTCTCAGTAAATCACAGGTAAACCCTGCACTGTCCAGTAGCTTGTAACATCCTCCTGGATAGAGTTTACAGCAGGACTTGTTGTAATTATTGTAAAATGAAGGGAAGGTGAGTCTCAGCAGAAATTGTTCAAACTCCTCGATCCTCTGCTGCCCTTTTAGATGAGGGATATCTGCAAAACAAAAAGTGTTTATTCATAAAGACACAAGAGAAATCATTAACAAATGTATCTGTTTAACAAAAAAATCATACCTAATAAAAGAAACAAGACAAAGGAAAACTTCATTTTCAGTGTGACACTCACTGAGGCTCAGCATTTTCTGACAGGTTGTCACTCTTTAAAGAGGATTTGAGGCCCCTCCTTGCTGAAGAAAGGAGGAAGTTGTCACTTCAACAGTCGGAGGACATAGACAGACGTGTTACTGTCTGTATTGAGTTTGAGGATAAACTATGTATTTTACATGCTATAATAAGATTTATTTTCAACTTTTTTTACATACTCTGTCTTTTTTTCTAAATAATTCGACATGCTATATTATGACACTTTTTGTGATATTTTCGACATACTTTGAGTTTTTTTCAGAAAATGTCGACATACAATACTATGATGTTTATTCGACAGTCTATACTATGACTTTTTTTCTGATGTTTTCAACATACTATTCTATGACTTTGTTCAGAACATTTCAGCATACTATTCTATGATGTTTATTCGACATAAAATACTACGACTCTTTTCCACATTTGACATTTCAATGTGCCATAATATACACATTTTTCTAAATGTTCAACATGCTATACTATAGCATTTTTAATCAACTGGCCTTTGCCTTCATTCATTTTGCAAATCATTTAAAAAATGTCCTGTCATTGCATTCTCCCCTGTACTTTTTTGTTGCTTGGATGTTAATTCAATATAACACCACAAATGAATATGGAGTAGCATAATATTAACTCATTTCTGACTGATCTTTGGTACTTGCTTTGCTTTTTTAGTGTGCATTGCATTATGATGTAATATTTCAAAGCTGACCGTGAAAAATCTAATTCATCTGTGTTGAACCTGGGCATTTATGGACATATGAAAGAGTGGACACTAGTATACACAAAGTGATTTATTTGGTGTCAGCTTTCAGCCTATTAAACACTTCATATTCACCAAATCGAAACATATCTTCCATCACGGAAAAGAAGAACAATGCAACAGATATGTACATATTTATACTTAGTAAACACAATGTTGAGGCATTCTAACAATTAACATCATTATAACAGATCAAAAATAAACACTCCCTTTTCATTTCAGTCCATTCAAAAATGATAATGTTTATACATGGATGCTCTGGATATTTTCTAAAACATGATATAAGCTGTTTCATTTCTTTTGATAACATTGTCTTGCAAATGGAGGCAGTTGAGGGACGTAAACACAAATGATTTGTATTAATTACAATATAGAACAACCTTGCTAAATCATCTTATAAATGCACAGCCCCTATGATTAGGTTAGAAGCAATGTGTGCAATAATTAGCATTTACAAAAATCTTATTAAACAGTGCAACTGCCCCCAAGCAGAGGATACTGTGGAGGAGATAAGCTTAGTTTACAGCCAGCTGAATGCATGAATTCGTTGAGGTCACTATACTTGTCAGTGCATAGTGGTTTGTAGGTTTGAAAAGCCGTCTATTCGTCTGTGAAAGTAATGACATCGTACTGGATGCCTTGCTGCTGGAGCTGCTCCAGCTGTTCGGGTGTAGCTTCAGTGTAGACCGTCTGCGTCATGGCTGCGTCTGCTACAGCTGCAACAACACACCGTCCATTTAGTTTCATTTGTTATGAGGGTGCTGGAATAACTATTAGTGTTTTTGTCATAAAGGTGAACACACTGGAACACTACGAAGCATTTTTAAATGATGACTGTTCTCAACTACTTTTGTAGGTTATAAAAAAACTATTTTGACAACAAATAAATGATGAGTTGAATAGAAATGGAAAATAATATCTCTGCAAACTTATTTTTACCTGATAGATTTGAATGTCAACAGCTGAATATACATTAAAAGTGGTATGCTTTGAAAGATGCTACATCCAAAATCAGTGGCATGGCCTTTGAATTTGGCAAATACACACAATTCAACAGGCAAGTGTAGGATGTAAAGCATGTGAAGTGTTATCTGTTCCCTAAGAGAGCCAACCTGTGACAGCAGAGTGGGTACCGGCCTCCATATCTTCAGGATTCACAATCTGTTCCCCCGAGCTCACGGGTATATACTGGATCTGACCGTCATGACTGACAGCAATCTGAACACACAAAAAACATGGAGCGATGAGTTTTGGTCAAAAACATAAACCTGTCAAAGATGAGAATTTTAAAGGTCCCCTATTATACTGTTTTTCATTAATATATAATAGGTCTCAGATATATACAAAACATGTCTCTGAAGTGTTTGGCTCCAAATACCAAACAGATCATGCATTGTAGCATCCCATAATCCCCTCTGTTTCAGCCCTGTTTCAAAAGTGCTGATTCTCTGTCTGTTACTTTAGATGAAAATAAGGTGCCACTCCCCACGCCCCTCTGAGAGATATTTTTTTGAATGCTCTAGGAGGAGATTCAGGTGATAAGGTGGGGGGGGGGGGGGTTACCTTGGTTGGTTATTGGCTAATGGTTACACAAGCCAAAAAATCGTTATGACATCATAAAGTGTCCAAACTCAGATCAGCTCATTTTCAGACAGGTTTTTATATAAATGGATCAGGACAAAAAGAGAGCGAATCTTTTTTTCCTGATACTTTCAGAATCTCTTTACACGTGTTTATGTATAAAAGACATGAACAAGTGGATTTTGCATAATAGGTGACCTTTAAGTTACTTGCTCCACTCTCTAACTGTAGACGGAAATATCTGCCTTACCTGTTGCTCCTGCAGAAAGGTTCCGTCGTGCTCATACTGAATGATCTGTCCATCTTGCATCTGAGGAGCAGAAGAACAAAACTTTTTTTTTTAAAAACACTTTTAAACACTCCATATATCCATCAGTTAAGGTGACTTCTTTCAGCCGTATACACTGACCTGTATGTGGTTGCCATCAGATACGACCACATACTCCTGAGGGATTAGGTGCGGCACTCCATCTTGTGAGATGATATACTGAACCTAAACCAGAAAACAGTTGGGATAAAACTACATGATATAACAAGGGCACTGTTTGTTAATATTTCAGATTTTCAATAATTGTCATTGAAGAAGCTATACAAGGCTCTTACCTCAGTCACCTGGTTCTCTCCTGTCATCAGGTGCTGCACTGTTTGTCCATCTATGGTGGTTATCTGCTGGATGTATGTCCCCTCCTCCTGAATAATATACATGTTTTAGTTGTATACATATTTTATGCGAATGAAACTATTTGTTAATCATATAACTTTATAAGCAGGGGTGACGTACGGGTATATATTACACATGACAATATTGTTGAATTAATCCAGCACTAATGAAGTTATTTCCAACTTCAGTTGTGTTTACAGACTCTCTTGTCTTGAATATCTTTTCATTCAAATATGACATTGTGACAGGCCTATTTTAAAGTATGTCCAGTATAGTGTGGCCGCTGTTACCTGGTCTGATAGTCCCTGTTCCTGCGCTACAATGATGTGATCATGTCCCAAAGCCTGCAACCGCTCTGGAGTGATCACTGTTTGATGAGCCTGTAGGGCTGTTAGACAGACGAAAAAACACACACACACAATAAGTTTGAGATTATTTTACACAAAATGTGGACTTTGTTTACCAGTTCGTAAAATAGCAACCAAAATGATTTATTAATCTCCGATTTATTTGGTTTTCCTTACATTGTAGTGTTGCCAGGGCCTCCTCATCACTGTTCACTATGATAGTTTGCTGAGATGAAGCGGTACGCGTCTTGCGAGCGAGATGATCCTGACTGTGGAGACGCTCCATATGAAACTTCAAATGGCCATTACGGTTAAACCTAGATATTGTGCAAAAAAGACATCATCATTAGTTGCTGTATTTCAGAAAACTGTAACATTATGCATACAGATATGTTGCATAAGAGTTCCTAATGCTAAGCAGATACAAGATTTGTGACAATTTAAATTAGTTAAGCACCGAACCTTTGTCCACAAAGGTGGCAGGAGAACGGTTTCTCATTGGTGTGTGTCATCATGTGTCGGCGCAGGTCTTTCTTGTTCTTGGAGGCAAAACTACAGCTTGGACACTTGTGAGGGCGTAGGTAGGAATGAAGCTCCATGTGAGTCTAAGAAATAGGATGTTAACCGCATTCAGAAAGAGTCAAGGTTGGAAAGGAAGTTCAAGACGGAAATGCTTTATAAAAAACGAGACACCTTCAGATACATAAATAAATCCTGTGTTTTTGATGAGATAAGTTGAGTACAGAGTTGTAGACGCACCTTGACCTCGAGCCAGGAGGTGGAGTTATAATCACAGTCAGGACACTTGAAGGTGTTGGGGTCTATGTGTGCCCTCTTGTGGTTCTCCATGTCAGAGCGTCCGTGGAACGACTCCATGCATATTCGGCAGGAAAACCTCTTTGTGCTCAAACCGGGAGAGCCCATGGCAGACGGAGAGGCTGGAGCTTCGCTGCACAGCTGTCAGAAGAAAATCCACACAGTCACAGAGGAGTGATACACAGTGTTATACTGATATGCACGTGCAATAAAACAATTGATCTGTTGCATTTACCTCCACCTGTTGCAGAACACCATCAGGTAGTGCAGATGTAAGGTAGTACTTTTCACCCTTCATGCTCTCTGATCCGGAGACTTCAGCCTGACAAGGACTGCCCTCCTCGTTACTGAAAACATAACATTTTAAAGGTGTTATCAAGTGTTGAGAGATCACAAGGGTCATCAATAAGATACATTAAGATAAAATAAACCGTGTGTATGAGGCTCACTGGCATGTAATATAGGGGATTACTTTAGTCATTGTTATTGTTTGTTTGTGTTTTTTCAACAACAAAAAAATCTCTTTGTATATACAATCAGTACAAACCACTGTCTAATTTGTATGGATATATTTTGCTTTCCATTTCTAATTGACAAACACTGGTTATGCATTGTCGAAACGCAATAAAAAGATTTTTAAAAAGAAGTAAACCTAATTATCATTAAGGTAGTTGTGTGACTGTGTCTTCCAGGCTCCCCATATAGGTCCTAACTAATGACAGGAAATCATGCAGTGAGTTCTGTTACCTGTATCCAGGGCTGTGGATCTCTTCGGCCGCCTGTTCCACCACACTGAAGTCCCCCCCGCTCTCGTAGGCTTCGATGGCGATCTGGGCGAGCTCTCCTGTCTCAGAGGTGGCCGTCTCGTAGGCCTCTTGTAGCACCGTCTCACCGTTCTCCGAAACGTGGAAGGTCACAACCTTTTGTGCCTGTCCCGGAGCTGAGGTCACTGCACTCCACGTGCCCTTTTCCAAAGGTTTGCCTTCTGACTTCAGCACTGCCACCTGAGGAGCATAACCAGTCAAGAAAACTTTCCACATAAATATTGCCTGCTTATGTAAAGTGAATTCTTTACAAGTTATAGAACCAACCTGTAAGGCGTTGCTCACCAGTTCCCGGGCATTGCTCATATTCAGCAGCAGGTCAAGGGCATTCTGGGCGGATTGATCACTGGATTCAGCTGAAGACCACATAGAGAAAGGGTCAGCATTTGTCCTCAAGGTGGTTACATTGCCCAGAAAAACTCAAAAGAATCCTCTTGAATGACAAGAGGCCTGACCTTGTTCATAGATGATGGTGGTGTTGCCCATAGCGTCCTGGGACACAGAGGCATTTTCCAAACCCTGCATGGCTTGTAGTGTGGCAGAATCCACAGCAACCTTTAAACAGGGATTAAAAAAACTGTTATAATCTCCAAATGCCATTAACTATAACTATAATAACACATGCTAAAAATGTATATAAAACAGACTCACAATAGTGTTCTGCAAATCCTGTGTGTCGTCATGCTGTTGTAGTTTGAGCTCCTCTATCTGCTGCAGGGTGAAGAAGGGTCTGCGTCGCCTCCTGACCGGCTCCTCAGGGTGGGCCACAGACCAATCGTCAAACGTCTCAGGGTGGCGACACTGCACATGTAGACGCAAGTTCTTCCTGTGCTTTGTCATGAAGTGGCACAGATGACAGGAGAAAGGCTTCTCTCCTGTAGATGACACAAATAAATAACACAGTGTTAAGAAGTATAGTGTATTATTGCATATAATAGGTAAACATACATTTTTTTTTAAGCTTAAAGGTCCCCTATTATACTGTTTTTCGTCAATATATTATAGGTCTCAGATATATACAAAACATGTCTCTGAAGTGTTTGGCTCCAAATACCAAACGGATCATGAATTGTAGCATCCCATAATCCCCTCTGTTTCAGCCCTGTTTCAAAAGTGCTGATTCTCTGTCTGTCACTTTAGATGAAAATAAGGTGCCACTATCTGCAAGATATTTTTTTGAATGCTCGAGGAGGATATTCAGGTGATAAGGTGGGCGGGTGTTACCTTGGTTGGTTATTGGCCAAAAAATCGTTATGTCATCATAAAGTGGCCAAAATCTGATCAGCTAATTTTCAGACAGGTTTTCAAATAAATGGATCAGGACAAAAAGAGAGAGAATCTTTTTTCCTAAACTTTCAGAATCTCTTTACACAGAGGGGACACATGTTTATGTATAAAATATATGAAATAGTGGATTTTGCATAATAGGTGACCTTTAAATACATGTTCTGTCACACTGACCTGTGTGTTTGATGGCCAGATGGGAGACCAGGAACTCCTCTTTAGAAGTGGAGTATTTACAGTAGTCACACTTAAAGGGCCGGTCGTTGGTGTGGGACAGCTGATGGTTGAGCAGCAGCTTCTTGTTGTCACAGGTGTAATCGCAATATTCACACTTGAACCTGGCATACGCACATCGATAAAAAGGTCATTGTGATATCATCCTTTCTATAATCAAACAACAAATGAATCATGTTGACTCGTTAAGGCGTATTCAATTTGAACAGATTGAAACATGACATAACAAAAGAGATGGAGAAAATACTGACTTGCTGTCTCCTAGACTCTGGATGTGGGTCAGTAGGTGCATTTTGAATGTGTAACGTTTCTTGAAGGATTTTCCACACTGTAAAGACAGAACAGCATCTTTAACAGGAGATTTGGAGTAGATAAATAAAGTCCATTAAATTGTTAGTGCATTCACCTTACTGTAAAGATTAACAAAGTTATGCACAAAACAATTCTCCTATTGAACAGGTAACTCATGTAATCAGAGAAGGATGTGCGGTAAAACAAGCTTCTTACAGAAGTACCAATCATATCTCAAAATCATTATTAATTGACCATTTGAAGAATAATTTGATCTTATATCCTGAATTGTTGCAGTGTCCAGCCATTTGTACAGCAGAATGTAAGTGCAACAATGCACAATAGAGAATGAATGGAAAACCATGATAAGTGTTGTCATTTAGAACAGGTGATAACATCTCTCCTGTAGCTGTCTCTTCTCAATCCGAGTTAAACATCTCTTAGAGTTGTTTGGCAACCAATGAAATACAACCATATTGAAGTTTTAACAAAGAAATTGAAATTCACTCTTGGCTTCCTTTTCAGACTTAAATGTTGTTTTTCAATTTCATCCCGTAAAAGGTTGGTCTCTAGATTTGCCTGTCCCACTGTTTTGGCCAAACTTGACCCACTTTACCAAGCTGCACTGCGATATATATCAAATGCACCCTATAGGACTCATCATTGCACACTGTATAGCCTAACTGGATGGTCCTCACTTACTATGCGTAGGATGCAGCACTGGTTTTTATTAATGTATAAAGCCATTTTAGGTAAGCTTCCACTGTACATATGTGCCAGATTTGCTCCAGTTTGCGACTCTTACAACATCAGATCCAGTGCCTGGATACGGTTCCAGGTTCCTACTGTGCGGACTGAGGCTGGAAAAAGGAGTCTTTCTTATCATGGTCCTTGGTCTTGGAATGACCTTCAATCAAGCCTAAAACTGATGGCACTTGTCTCTATAGCATGTTTTAAATTGAAGTTGTCTGAAGTCCTCACCACCAGCTGCTCTTACAGTAACAAGTAGTGTACTTTTTTTACTGTCCTAATGTGCACAATGTAGTGACTGCTTTTTCGTCTTTTGTTTTCTTAGTTATGTTCTCTGTATTTTATATGTTTGTGTTATGTGTAACGTTGCTGCCTTCTTGGCCAGGTCAGCATTGAAAATGAGATTTTATCTCAATGTTTTTATCTGGTTAAATAAAGGTTAAATAAAAAAATTAAAAAAGAATAAAAAAAAATATTCCTTGCCATTAATTGATTTTCATTTATTTTAAAGAAACGTTCTTAAGTGTTCTTAAATTGTAAAATCTATATATCTTACCTTATCACACATGTGTGGTTTCTCTGAGCTGTGGGTCTTCATGTGCTGGGTCAGTCTCTTTTGCATGGGGTAAACCCTGTGACACACAGGGCAGAGGAACTCTGACACTTTTGGTACCTGCAACAACAAGAAAATAAATCACAAAATTATTACATGCATGCCCACAACCAATAAACAATTCTTCAAATATAGAAAACCTGAAATGTCTCACCAACTCTGTCTTTTTCTTTCTGTAGGATGAAAACAGAGAAAAGTATTACAATCATTTACAAATATATTTCAGGGAACTTGTGTGCTGTATATTATCTTAGTTACTTACTTGTCTTTGTTGTGGACTGTTGAGTGGCGCGTGACATCTTTCTTGTAGACACTTGAGTAATCACACTCGTCACACTTGAACGGCTTGATGCCCTCATGATTGAACATGTGTTCCTGCAAAACAGCCCACAAGACTTATAAGGAAACGTTCAAACCTGCACGAAAACTGAGGTTTACCAGAATGTTGTGTCATTGCAACTGACCTTAAGTGAAGACCAGCGCTTGCAGCGATAGTTGCACTGCAGGCACTTGAAGAGCTCCGGGTCATTGCCTTCATGAGAGTCCACGTGGAAGCGCAAATCCTCTTGAGTGAGGAAGCGTGAGCCACAAATCCAGCAGTTATGAGGTCTGAGGAGCGGTTTCAAGGATTTATAGTACCGACTGGAAGATAATGAAGGAAAGAAACAATGAGCTTGTTGTCATATTATGTATTACAATGTGCAACACAGCTTTATTTAAAAGTTTGATACTTACTTTCGGTTGATATACTTCTTATACTTCTTGCGAAGAAAACGCTTGGAGGGTCGACCACGTTTCCTCTGAAACAATTCTTCTGGCTGTGTGTTGGATGAAGGGTCTTTGTTCTCAGAGTCTGATTGGCTAATTGCTGCCTCAGCTGTGTCTCCATCGGTCACCATAGCATGACTGTTGTTGAGTCCGGACGAACTTGCCTCTTCAGGCGCACTACCATCCACACTCACCCTCGGCTTCTTAGCAACACTTTCTGCTTCTGTAACAACCAATACAAAAGAGGAATGAAGAATGTGTATGCTCTGCGCTGCAGTTAGAGGCTGTTTCTTGCTTTACTTTGTAAACCTGAAGACAAACCTTTGTTGCTGTAGCCTTCTTCTATAAGGCTGTACTTCCTTGGACGGCCAACTTTACGCCGAGGACGACCATGAGAGGAGGAAGAGATTGGAGGAGTGGACTTCTTCAAAATGGCAGGTGGTCTTCCTTTGCTGTCCTCGTCTGCAGGGGTGTAATCACTATCCTCTGACAAAAAGAAGAGAGAGGGATATGCACATTTAAATGTTATCCTTTTGACTGATTCTAAGTCTGAAAAGTCTGCATGTTTGTCTGCTTTGGGGGTTAAATGATACTCCTTCTCACTGACCTTCAGCATCATCAATAGCGCCCGAATCCACAATATCATCCTCCTCTTCTTCTGCTTGTTTGGGCTGAGCAGCCTCAGCTTTTGCTGCCTTCCTCTCTTCAGCTTCCACCCTCTCTGCCTGACGACGGGCAAACGTCTCACTTTTAGGAGGCCTCCCACGTTTACGCTTTTTTGGCATTTCCCCTGGAAAACACACATTATAACAAACTTTTGTATTATTATCTGGGAACAGAGAAAACTTAAACAATCAAAAGTGATATGTCATTGAGATAAATATTGAACAACACTTCCTTACCTACAGGTTTGAAGTGTTTGTCTCTCATGTGGTTGATGAGTGTGTCTTTGGAGACACTCTTGTACGGACACATCTTACACTTGAACTGCTGAACAATCACTACTTCCATCATCTCCTCCAACTCAGCCAGGTTAGGTGCTCTGTGTCCTGAGACTTCTGGCACTGTAGATGTCTCCATCTCCCTGGCCGGCCCTGCTTCCTCCTGAGGCCCCTGGGAGCCTTGGGGCTCCTCTTGGCTAGGTGAGCACTGTTGGGCTGACTCAGGCTCTGTATTAGAGGTGTAAGTCCCACTGCTGCTGATGTACATCCCAGACTGGCTCTCGCTGCACTCCAATGACTCAGGAAGCCCCACTGAGCCTGCTGTGTCTGCCAGAGGGTGGTCCGAAGAGGAGCTGTCATCCTCATAGATGGAGGCCTCTGGGCCGTTGCTGCTTGCCATGTAACAGGAGTGCTGGGGCTGCTGTTGAGAGTGCTGCGGCTGGTCTGGATCCTGGTTATTCTCGTCATCTTCATCATCGTCCCTTGCTTGATACTGAGAGCATTCCGGTTGCTCAGAGTCTGCAGCTGCGACACACTCCCCTACATACTGGGCCACATATTGTCTTAATGTCTGAGTCCGGTGGTCTGCACTACTGTCAATGTAACTGCGTGAATGATGCGGTCGCGCCCCATCGTCCACCGAACACTCCATGTACCCAGCACTGCAGTCTACAACATAGTGACCCCGGCTGGTTGGGTTCGAGTCCGCCCCACTGCACTCCACATATCCAGGCAGATCCTGGTCACTGTTATCCCCGCTGTAGTCAGGGAAACCAGACTGGGAGCGGGTCTGGTCGGGCTCCTCGCCTGAACACTCCACATAGGAAGATGAAGACTCCCCCGTCTGGTCTGGACCGTCTGCACTGCAGTCCATGTACTGGGAAGGGTGGGAGTGCTGGGGCTGGTCGGGCTGACTGCTGCTGTCCTCTGGGTACCCCGAGGGGCCCGGCTGATCAGGGTCATGGTGGCGCCGCAGTTCTCCCTGGTCCAGACAGGTGGAGGTGGGTCCTTCAGCAAGAGCTTCTATGGCTATACGATCAGAGAGGAACGAAGATGACATTTGGGCTACCATAGGAGCTCCTATTGTGAACATATGCATGGATTGTACACACTTTAAAAAAGGATACTCATATCGTGGGTCATTAATTTAAAGGTATACTTCATCCACAGAGTTACAATTTGTATATCTGTGTTTGATCTCAATGACCCTGCTAAGGCTTTAAGCCCTGAACCTTAAAGGTCCCATGTCATGCTTTTCCGGTTATTACCCATCCCCATGTGTGTTATGTAGCTTTCTATGCATGTAAACGGTCTGCAAAGTCACAAACCCTCAAAGTACACCCTGTAGCGAGTTAAACTCTAACACAGAAAAGACTTGTCTATGCTGCCCCAGAACGCCTCGTTGGAGATTTTTCCCATTTTTTTCTTCCCGAGTACAGTGACGTGACCATACCCAGGTCCAAATGGACCAATCTGTGGAGCTCCTCACACACACACACTCACTCAGCCTTATCTTTTCTCAGCTGCGGCTCCGCATTTCTCAGCCTGAGACAGCGATACACCGCGAAACTCAGGCTGAGTTCAGGTGAGTTTCTCGGTGTCTCGGTGTCTCGCAGACCCCACGCAGCAACCAGGAAATGACCCCAGTAATCCAGCTCACACTGTCCGCTCCTCGATCCTCAAAGGGCAGAGCAGCGAGCCCCGCAACGTCCCGCCAACACGGCACCCAGACCCCAGGCAGCATTCTCATCTGTTTGTCATTACTGGTGTCATTTTCTGGTTGCTAACGCCATTGCAACACATAATCACTGATGTTCCGCTGTAACGGTGGTGGACTCATCAGAACAGAGTGGGCGAGCTGACCAATCAGAGCACACTGGGCTCATAGGGAGGGGGGGGCAGGAGCTCCAACAAACCGTTTAGGACAGAGAGTGAATACACATACTATAGTATACAGAGATGCTGTATGAGAAACCAATGTGATTTTGGAAAATTGAACAATGTAAATCTATTTTAGTAGACCTCAACAATGGAATTATGATCAGTAGAAATGGCCATGTCATGGGACCTTTAAGGGACTTCACGGGTCACCTGATACATGTTTCAGTGTGCGAGACACGTAAAGGCTTGAAATGGGATGAATACAAAAGGGAGGGAAGTTTGCAGCAACATATTACACTACCTTGAGGACACAAATCATAAAAAATATATATATGTTTTTACCCAATACTTAAATGCTCTTGCCTTGCAGGAGATATTTGCCAACATAAACATACATGTTTTTTTAAACAGCACCTTTAGAGAAATTGTTGATGTTCACTGTTGAGGAAAAACATTTTGAGTGTGAAGTATTCCTTTAAGGGGATTTTAAAATAAATAGTCACGTGTTAGAGGACAATTATACATTTTGGTTAATAAAAAGGTGGTATAGAAAGATAGAAATCTGCAATCTGCTCTAAAGGTTGATGATGACTGAAAAACATCCCATCAGAGTATTCAGGGTATTTTTATATGTAAAGATGGTGCTAATTGTTTCATGAACTTTAAAAGTGTTTTTAATGGGCTGATGAGTAAGCAGTAACAACATCACACATACCGTCATCTGGTCCTTGTAATATCAAATATCGGGTTGTTTCTGCACCTCCAGCTTCTGCACTGGTCACAGCTATGCAACCTGACAGAAGAACAGAAAACAGCATCAGATATCTGCTACATTATTATACTGAATACAACCTTAAAGCTGCTCAGGCAATGGTAAATCAGAAAGCAGGAGTGTCAGAGGAAATACCATTCATGATGTCAGGGCCGATGGTGGACTCTATGATCTTGTCAATGGCAGACCCGAGATCTGACGAGGTAGAAGCAGTGGAGTCAGAAACCATCATGGATCCTTCAGATGTAGCACTGGAGTGGACCAGCACTTGGGCTGAATCAGACACCATCACCGACTGAGTCACTGTGGAGACGCTGGACACGCTGGTGGACTGAGCCACTGAGGAGGAGTCTGGGAGATGGACTGATGAAACTCTGGCGTCTGTACTGGAGCTGGTTTCTGGGGCGAACACCTTGACAAGGAGGGAAAAAACGTGATCCCAATGTAAAGACATTTATAACACAAAGCCTAACTGGTATCTGGTTTTGTTGGACTGTGGGTTTCTCCCACACATAATCATATTTTAATTAAAAAGCTTACCATAAGTCCCTCTGAGCTCTGTCCAACATGGCAGTCGGACTCAGGGGCCTGTGCATGAGAGGCAGCAGCATCACTGCTGTCTGCAGACATGGCCTCTGATGACTCCACTCCCATGCCGCTTTCAGACGGCTCCTCCATCCCCGAAGGACCCGCATCGCTGCTGCTCTCCACCTCATTCTCCTCTGAATCCATGACTTCAAAAATAAAACATAAACTCAATATCAACTTTTAAGTTTATGTAGCCTTTAATGCCTTGGGCTTCGTTGCTACTTCACTGTGTTAATAAATTATGACATAACATAACTCCTGATTTGTTTCATGATTCATCTTTATAGGAAAGCTCTTATGGAATACATTTTTATTTTAGACGGAGAACAGGCAAACAACTTCAAGTGAAACGGAGTTTTTGAGGTATGGTTTTGCAGTCACTTTGAATGTAGGGTTTACATTTAGTGTATCCTTATGAAGACTTTTATATTGAATGTGAAACCAATGATGGGTTTGTAGGAATTCAAATTGATTGATTGATTGATTGATTGATTGATTGATACATTTATTTCAAACACGTAAAATAAATCATTACAAAACAAAACAAATGTTGCAGTGCAGTCATGTAAGAGAAATCAAAACAAAAAAATGACATTTACAACAACAGCATTAGCAACATAAACAGTGCCACATCTAGTGTTCGAAAAGGAGTGAGAAGAAGTATAATTTATTTAATCTCCTACCCCCTTGGCCCTAAATGATTTATTTATAATCTATAATCTGCAATAATTATCATTATTATTCATTATTATTGTTATTATTATTATTAATCTGCTTTACCTGTTGATTGACATATATACATATACACATATACATACACTGATATACATATATGCACACATACATATACACACATATACATAGTCAAACACCTTCCCCATCCCTGTACCTCGAGAAAATAATTTCTCTGTATTTCCTCTTGAACTGGTTAATGTCTGGACATCGCTTTAGCTCCACATTCACACTGTTCCATAGTCTCACTCCACAGGCTGAGATACAAAAAGTTATTCTGGTTGTACGGACCCTATGAATTTCGAATTGAAATTGTCTCCTTGAACTATATCCCCCCACTCGTTGAGTGAATACTTTTTGGATGTTTCCTGGTAAAACGTTATGATTTGCCTTAAACATGATTTGTGCCGTTTGGAATTCTACCAGGTCTGTGAATTTTAACAATTTTGACTGCAGGAATAATTCGTTAGTGTGATCAAGATATTTGGCATTGTGAATGATTCGTACTGTATGGCTTTTTTTTGTAGAATAGATACTGCATGTATAGAACTTTTGAAGTTATTGCCCCAGATTTCAGCACAGTAATTCAGATATGGTAAGACTAGTGAACAGTAGAGAATGCGAAGTGATTTCTGATCTAGAACTTGTTTTACTTTGTTTAGTATGGAAATGCTTCTTTACAGCTTTGATTGTACATGTTTTATGTGTAATTTCCAACTCATCTATTATTACCCCAAGAAATTTAATTTCATGGACTCTTTCAATTTCAACCCCATCTATTTTTATTTGCATTTGTGTTTTTGTTCTATGTTTACTCTTATGGAATGCATTTTTATTTTAGACGGAGAACATTTATTTTATTTCATACTCTCTAAACTGCTAACTAAAGAAAAACACAAAAGTGTCTTTCTATTTCTGTTTCTTATAGCTGTCATTGAGTCTTTCAGATAGGCAAACAACTTCAAATGAACCAGAGTTTTTGAGGTATGGTTTTGCAGTCACTTTGAATGTAGGGTTTACATTTAGTGTATCCTTATGAATACTTTTATATTGAATGTGAAACCAATGATGGGTTTGTAGGAATTTAAATGACTTTGTACCAAACGGAATGCAGAGGGAAACAGTTTTAAAATAGCTAACTGGGCATGTTTTCTATCCAGGGGGTGTACATAACAAACATTTGTGTATTAAGAACACTTGAACATAAGTGTACGGACACTTGTAATTTTTCTCAAACTATATTTTCACTACATCTAATGGCTTAGTGGTGATGGTGGGATACAATGCGAAATGTATAGAAAGTGTTAGGCTAACACAGGTGTTGTACTACTGATACTTTTATGAATATTATTTTCTAAAATAAGGCTTATTGAGTTGTTTTATTACTTTGTGAATAGTGTAACAAACTGTTTCACCTAGGCTAATGCTTACACGTCTGTCAACATTATGGCTATATCAAGTGTTTTCACTCTCTGTGGAGTGATTAAAGGTCTCTCTTTTGAGTGTGTACAGTTCAAATGTGGTCTGGTCTGTTGTGACTTGTTCGGTGACATCAGCTGACAAGTTATTTAGAATCCTAACGCCAACAGGACTGAACGTTTGTTAGCTCACGATTAACAAGAGCAGCTAGCATTAGCCTTTAGCATCGTTGTCAGCTCGTTTTCTTGCTCGATGAAGCTGTAAAACAGATATCATTGTCACCCAATGAGAGTGTGAGTCTTTTAATATAATAACGCTGTTGATTGCAGATTATGTCACTCGTCTAAACAAGTCTGCGTAACCGGTGTCACCCTAAATGAGTGTAACAGCGTCGTAAAGAGCGTGTGTTAGCCATTTTAATCGGGCCCAGCTGCCCTTCACCCTGCCTGCTCCGTGTCGCCATTTTCCAGCAGGCAGCCCCGTTTTACACTCAGGCATCTGAAGGCTGTACTGGGGACCTCGAGGGCCTCAGCCGCGGCAGACCGCCCTAATACTCTCCCTGAAGAAAATGAAAATATTTTCCTCCTCCGGCTCCAGAATCATCACGCTTTATCCTTACCGTTTATGTTCGAGTAGAAGGGTATCCTTTAGTGTAGATGCGCTTACTAGGACAGAAAATAGTAACCGATAATTGTTGCTTCATTCTAGTCGGGCGCCATGAGACTCTCCTAGCTTCCTGTCCGTGCAACCGGATCTTATTTATTATTTTTGTTGAAAATGATCTTGTTGTTTGACGAAAGGTTAATTTATTTGTCTGTTTTAAAAAACAGGTGTATTGATTGATTGATTATTTTATGTCTGAAATATTTGGTAGATGTGATGTTTATATTCCCTTAGTGGACTATTGTTTTTTGAGGAAGGACAATTGCGCATATGGATGCGGAGTAATATGCAAACACGTAGGGCCGCTGTTAAGCTACAAACTGATGGACCTAAGATGTTTAATATTCCCTCTGGATGTACCATTACAAAATGAAAACATAAAGTTCTGCTGACTGTCATTTTATTCCTTTTACTCTGGAGAGTCCTCATGCATTAAGCTAGGTTATCGAGGTCCATAACAAATATCCTGTAGCATATTAACAATTTCAGCACATTTCTTATTGTTTATAAATTGGATATACTCATACTAGTTTGAGTATAGGCCTATCCAATTTATAAACAATAAGAAATGTGCTGAAAACTAAAAATAAATTCCCTACCTTTTATGTTATTTTATTTGTTAAACGTTATAGTACTACCATATGGCCTGCTAACATGTTGAATGAATAATCCTATTGAGAATGGACTCATTATCCTAATTTCTTTATGATGCCTAAATGTGTTTATAATCTGTTTGTTAGTGTTGATTTCTACAAAAACACCTATCAGGAGACTGCTGCAGATAATCAATACAGCATAAAGTAATACAATTACATATATATCAGGTCGTGGCTCAACACGTTTTGTGTTTTTGCTGTTGTGGGACTGTGGACTCCAATTGTTGAATAATATAGCGTCTGAGCATGAGAAAGCATTGTCAGTAAATCATGGTTTGGTGAATGATTAAGACAGACAAGTGTGTTATTCTCACAGAATGTTTATTGCTTTGAAAGTACAAAACATATCAGTCTCATAAATAATTTCAGTGAAGGAGACATACATTGTCTTCCAGTGCAAGTAATTGGCTTTGAAGCCATTTTCAAAAATACTCACATATATTTATACAAAACAAACAAGCGTTAGGACACAAACATAATATTAGATATTGCTATAAATACCAAAAATATTCTAATACTGTTTAGGGTCTGAACCTGTCAGACATAATTATTAAGTAAATCTGGAATCCAGATAACCTTCAACATTAATTTAGTTGTTATGGGTCAACCAACCAGTTCACAGATTATCTGAGTAAGATAATAAGAAAGTGCCAAAAAAACATTTTTTTCTCTTTTTTGGGCCATTGCTGTATGTTATAGAATTAGCCAAGGTCAATGGTGGCCAATTATTTACATACCCGAAAGTACACACATCATACAACAGACGCTATACTGCATCCCATTCTCCCTGACACCTGCACAGGCAAGAGAAGTAGGTGCTACCACAATAAAGACGATTTCCAGCTCATCCCTGTTTCCTTCATCTCCTCAGTAGCGAGTGTGTGAAGCATCTGTGCACTGGAGAAGGTCATATTTCACGTAGCCAACGCGATCCACCTGCCTGCGGGAGTTCATACGCCAGTAGAAGCGGTCCCGGCAAAAGTACATGTGTCCTGTAGCAGAAATATTGGGATGTGAATGACTAGAACACAACATGAGGATTTTTAACATGCAACAATCGACTGTTATAAGATAATGTTTTTTGTTGAGCTCAGTCATTACTATTTGAACTTACCGTTGTACTGGAACACATCATGAGCATCATTGGGGACGCCACCAAAGACGGCATCTGTGTATCTGGGGTACCCTTTGTCGATTTTCTGGGCTTTCACATCAAGCCTGCGTTGATCATAGCAGAGAATGTCATTAAACAAGTCAAAAACAATCACCTGGTTTAACTCTCAGACTTTTGTTATGTTATTAAAAAAGCTTATTCTGGGCTTTTACTTTACTCCAACACTTATAAATGTCAAAACGAGCAGATGGTTTCATTTGAGCCAAAAGTGACAGACATGCTTCCCATCCTGATGTCAGGCACACTTTAAACTCACCTCCAGTAGTTCTCCCCACTGAAGAGCAGCACTTTGCCTTTGCCCCTCTGCAGTGCTCCCTCCACCTTCTGAACAGTGTTCGGGAGGCCAAGCTTCTCAATGCTGCGGGGACCCAGAACACTCTTCCCTGTGTACACCCAGAATCGTGTCCCTATAGAAAGAAGATGATAATAAGAAAAAATTGTCTTGCACTTTTGTCTTTTGTAATTGAGGTCTCTTATAAACAGCATGAAGCTTCACCTGAGAAGAAGTACAGTTTCCTGGCCAGAGTGTTTTCAAACGCAGAGTCGATGACTGCTGGCAGAGCGGGCCACGTCTCGGAAATAGAAAATGGTCCCTTGAGCCCTCCATCTCTCCCGCTGGACATCCTCCAGTATAGTCTGTTGATCAACACATGCAATAAAAAAACATCAACACTGACACTTCCTGTTTATATTCTTTTACATAGAAGAAGAGACTGGTTAGCTTACCCGTCATTGAAGAAGTGTAGCTCTCCATTAATCACAGTGATGGTGTCGAATTTGGTCATCTTGCAGGCATCTTTGGTTGGATCCACAGGTGTAGCGGTAGTGGTGGTGGTGGGGTCAGTGGGTTTATCAGTGTCATCAGGGTCTGGGTAGGCGGTAGTGGGGGGGGTGTTTGGTTTAGGTGGAGTGGGATCAGGGCCATCTTTGCGTCCTGAAAAAATGAAATGGTGCTGAATGTGAGAAATTGCAAACTTTCATGTGATTTTGCATGATAACGCAGTTCATAATGACCTTACCATAGAGATATTGAATGCCTTCAATGTCATCCTCATGTAGGGAGAAGTCTTCCACGAAGCTGTACATGGGGTACATGAGAGCCTCTCTGATGTTGGAGTGTTCCAGGCCGAGGGCATGACCAAACTCATGGGCTGCCACCAGGAACAGACTGTAACCTGGAGGACATACAGTAAGGAATATTAGCAAAAGGCAATTTTATCTAATCTACTTTGTTTGTCTTATATTCATGTGACTCACCTTGGTCAGGACAGAAACCCCATTTCTTGTCGTCATCATAGCTGTCAGTGGTACCGCACCACAACTTGCCGTCTCCTCGTCCCTCACTAGTGCAGGAGTCATACTCTTTACCCAGGAACACAAAGGGGAAGTGGCAGGACTCTCCCTCAGAATTTCCACCAATTACAGCGGTCTCTGTCCAAACAAAGAATTAACAGCAAGAGTAAGAAAACAAGACATTGTGTTGGTACTCGACAGCATTTATGGATCGTGGTTTCAGTAACTCACCACGACTGGGACAGAACCCATATTTCACGTCAGTGTCAAAGTTGCTTGTGGTGGCACACCAGCGATAGCCATCATCGCGGCCCTCTGTGGTACAGCTGTCATATTCTTTGTCCAGAAAGACAAAGGGGAAGACACACTTTTCTCCATCTGCGTTTCCTCCAAATGTGTACAGGACTGTCGGGATGAAAATAAGAGTAAGTGGGATGAAGCACATCAGCATGACACTAAAGAAACTCCCTATATCTGGTTGACCTCTGCCCTATCACTTCCATTGCAGGATAAACTGTCAATCTTACGTTCACTTGGGCAGAAGCCAAATTTCTTGTCTCTGCCGTAGTCGGCTGTGGTGGAGCACCATGGCAGGTCGTCCGAACGCCCATCAGAGGTACATGTGTCGTAGGATTTGCCCTCGAAAGTGAAAGGGAAGTGGCACATGGCACCATCAGCATTCCCATAGAGAGTCTTCACAGCTTAAGTGACAGAAAACAGTAATACATTTAAGCAATGTATAAAGTGAACACTGGGGGGAGACATCTTCATAATAAATGTTGGGGGTAGAGGAATATCTGTTGGTATTTCTGATTACCTGGTCCTTCTCCCAGGGTCCAGTACTCATCATCGTCAAAGTGGGCGTCACCCTGCACACCCTCACCAGGGGGGTAAGCGTGGGCCAGAAGTCCATCCTTACCATCAAATGGGTAAGGGTCTCCGTGGTCTGAGTAGAATAATACATTTTACATCAGTATTTGATTATAGAATTGTCTTTAGTAAAGTAAATGCCATTAAAAGACCGGCGCATAAACACATACCGATTTTTCCAAATGAAATCATGATGTCAGCTGTCCCATCAAAGAGGCGGGTAAAAGTCAGAGGGGTCACATCACTCCACACCTTGAAGGCTCTGGCAAAGGCGTCGTCAACCAGAGACGTCGCCATGTCCGGGGTATAGCTAAGGATCCTGTGGAGAAATGCAGAATGACAAGCTGCTGTCAGACATCTGGTAAACAATGCAAGTGAAGATACTCGGTGATGTATCTCCATCAAAGATACTCTTTGTATGTTGTGCCTTGTAAATACTAGTAGAATGTAACTTAGTACATTTACTGTACACATTTCAGGTATTTGTACTTTACTTTTCATTTTATACTACTTCATGCTTTTACTCCACTATGTCTCAGAATGTACTTTTTTCATTTATTTTGTCAACTTTAGGTGCGACTTAGTCTACAGCTCCAGATCATTAATATAAAACAAAAACAACTAATACATTAAGATGAATTTACTATAGATTAAGCTACCCAACAGTTTCTAAATTAATTCAAACTAGCCACGATTTTACAGCTGCAACATTAAAGTGATGACCATTCATGCATTCATAATTACAATACAAATATACAATATATATTGACTGAAATGGGCCATTCTGCATAATCAGTACATTTACTTTTAATAGTTTAAGCATAATTTGATGCTAATACTTACTTTAATTTTATTACATTTTTTAATGCAGGACATTTATTTGTAACAAAGTATTCTCATTGTGTGTTTTTTTACATCTTCGATTTTAGTTTATAAAGTCAATTAACAGATTATTTATCTCTACTCACCTATAGGTGACCTCTTGATGGTCCCATTTGAGGTCTCCTTCAAATGTTCTGTAGCTGGCCACATCAGGAACCCCGCAGCGTGGCCGCTTCATGGCTTCCAGGGTGGATTTATCCAGCTCTCCAGTCTCCTCCATCCCCATCTGCCTCTGCATCCTCTTCAAAGCCTTGGAAGTGGACACCATGGACTGGAAGCCACTGCGTGTCAGCGTGTCCATGTAGCCAAACTTCTTCAGATAACCCTGACAGGAGAACAAATAAATGAGTCTAGAGGGATGGTCATACCATTTCATGAACAGGATAATTGGTTCTTATAAGAAAGTTAACTTTAGTTTAGAAAAAGTGTGTTTGTGACATATTATCTAACTTTTGTACTCGTATAGTTTGAATTCAGAAGAATATATATTTAT